GCTCTGTCGGTATGTACTACTCCCCCCCCTCCTTTGTTGTTTCTGTAGATCTATCTCTATGATGACAATACTTAAAGTCTTATTTTTACATGCATTTACTGACCTTTATTGTGTCGATGTGTTTCGCTTTAATAATCAATCCCAATTCAAACAATGGATATTGTATGCAAATGTAGCGCTCATATCGGATAATAAGCAACTGATAACACATTAGACTATTCAATATTATAATTGAGTGACATCAGCAAAATGGGATTTTCCGAGGTCTTTTCGGAGATCCCCGAACTGTTCTGTCTCGCTACGAGAACGACATGTAGATCTAGAATGAATTTTCCAGATAAAGGACTGCAGATAAGTTTGATAATATTATCATTTCTAGGTTGTCTAACTTTTTATAAAGTAGGCCTAGCCTTCAAAATCTTCTGTGTAGGTTACAGAGGGTCAAAAGACTGGGCGGTTGCTGGGGGCTTCTGGTATGTTCTGCTTCTTTGTGGTCTCCCTGTTGCCAGTCTCTCTTACTTTTTCACAGCACAAAATGATTGTTATTTCCGTGATTTATCTTTGTGTGTGTGTTTAAAAAAAAAAAAACTAGAACAAGGATCGAGATTATTAGGAGTGCAGCAGATATGGTTCTTAGTTATCTCACGTTCTATATATCGCAGGTAAAGAAATCTCCTCATGTGTACATAACAAGGTCATGCCATAAGTGACTAAAATGTTGAACCAAGGTCGTTGAATACCATTAAGTCTGTACTGCGCAGTTGAAGACCTTGCTTACAACCACTCCGGGGAAAAACCAGCCCAGTGCCACAGAGTACATTAATTTTGTACACAGATAAAGATTAAAACCACAACCTTTAAGGAAACTTTATCAGAGGAGAGTCTTGTGGTGGTCAGATTAAAAATGACACGTTCTGTGTGTGTGCACAACGACACACTTCACAACACATTATGACAACATTTACCTCCTATCGTCGGCGTCGCGAGAAATCCACCTAAGTTCGTTTGGGTACTTTTTATACCAGATATTTTTTTAAACCCTAGTTTTTGTTATGTTTTTTTCTGTTAAAAACCACGAAAAACAAGGATATTGTACCCCGTAACCCTTGACCACAGCATTAGCTGATGGTATTTTTTGGGGGGGGTGGGGGGTGGGGGGTAAGTGATATTAATTGAAAGGTAGGCTGCATCCTTGATAGACTTTCTGGAAGAATGTAAACATCGGAAATTCTCAAAATTTGGACTTAAGTGGTTTGCTCGCGACATCAACGATACGTAACCGAGGCATTGATTGGAAAGACGGAATTTTGGACGAATATTTCATTGAGGATTCTGCTCATTTTTCCTGCTCTTGTACGTGTATAAGACAAGCACAAAAGAATATTAAAAAGAACGAGGCCTTTTGCACCATAGAGAAGTACGTGTCATGCAAAATGTATACAACGAGGCTTTTGTATGGGTATGATACACAATGTACAATGTATAAAAACGAGACTTCTTTGCACTCCACGGGACAACGTGTGATGCGAGTTGGTCCTCTATGCAACATTTCCACTTCTACTTCTATCATCCCCAGAAGAAAAAAACAGGCAAATGAGATACAAACGTTTAGGCTTTTTTTGCTGTTTCACCCAGAAGAGGCAGATTTGAATCCCGAGTGGGGTGGGGCTGCGGGTAGTGTGGGGCAGGGGGTAGTGTGGGGCTGGGGGTAGTGTGGGGTGGAGCTTTTTATCGAGTATCATCGCCCGTCTGCTGGGATGATGTATCCGACTCAGCCCAAATTAGTCCTCACCAGGCCACCTGGTTGAAGCTCTCCATCCATTGAGTAATTTAAATCTCCTCGATAGGGGAGCAAAACGTTTAATTAACGTTGCTGATTTTGATTTATACCAGAATAGAACCCTGTCTGTATCAGAAAGGGGGGGTTGAGGAAACAATAACCTCCCCCCCCCAAAAAAAAAAGAAATCCGCTCTGTTATACGTCCTAAGCAAACCAATATACAGCAATTTTATGTAATTCCATACACAAAAAATGATACACATTTACAAGTATAAAAAAGTTCGCAGAAGCAGCATTAATTACTCTTCCCTTTACAAACAAGCAACCGATCACAAGAAATCATGGAATACACAACTCGAGGAAAGTCTTGAGTTCTTGTCGTAGACAGATGATGAGGAAAAGGTAGACTAGAAAAAAAAAAAAGTCGTTTATCACAGTTGTAGCGGGGCAAACCATTGCACTGAGGGATGTTGCGGATGAAAAGTACACCCCAATTACATGTACATGAATATAAGAGATTTTGTACTTTTTACTCGAATTATCCATCCGTCCATCCATCTTCTTTATCTTCTTCTTCTTCTTCTTCTTCTTCTTCTTCTTCTTCTTCTTCTTCTTCTTCTTCTTCTTCTTCTTCTCTCTCTTGGTGTAGTAGCGCGCGCGCGCACACACACACACACATACACACACACACACACACACACACACATACACGCGCGCGCACACACACAGACACACACACACAAACGTGCTGTATTAATAATAACATCATCAAAACGAACACACAGCACACCGTGCATCTTGTATAAGTCTGTGAAAACGTACACACACTGCACACTACACATCACTGTCAGAATTTGGCACTGTCAACGTGGCGTGGATAAAATGGCTGCTGCCGTAGAGAAAGAGACTGCGGTGTGTTCGCGGTGTGTTCGACCTGGGTTCTCCAACTCCTGTCTCGTCATCTGTCTGTTCCCGCCTCTTTTGTTCCTCCAGCCTCAAGCAAGTGTTGTTGTTGTTATTGTACGTGTTGTTGTTGTTGTTGTTCCTCTTGTTATTGTTGTTGCTGTTGTTTTTGTTGCTCTTGTACTTGTTGTTGTTGCTGTTTGTGTTGTTGTTGTTGTTGTTGAAACACTTTGCAATGCATTTCATGTCTTTTTAAGCGGGTCTCCTTGTAAGCATTGTCAGTCCGCGATACGTAGGAGTAGAGGGGGTGTGACCAGCCTTCAGCCGACCCCCCCCCCCCACACACACACTCAATCTAGGGTCACATACACTAACAGCCTCTGCTGACGTGATTCGAACCAGGGCCTTCCATTCTGTCTTTCAGAAAATGAGGATGGTCGCGATGGGTGGTAGGGGGGTGGGGGACCTCGCCTATCGCCTTGTACAGCTCTCAGACTCCCGGGTCTCTCGTGTCTCGATATGCCACGGGTGGGAGCATGGGGGTTCAGGGCTAAGAGTTCAGAGTTCAAGGGTTCAGAGGTCAGCCGGAGGCGTGGTAGCGGCACTCCATCTCCACCTCGTGCCAGTCGCTGTCGGAACTGTCGCTGAGCTCCACCACAGAGGCGCCATGTCGCTCCAACAACGCCACGATGCCAAGCTTCACCCGCCCGTATGCCAAACGAGCCGGCGTTCTTCGCGCGTAGTCCAGAGCATTGAGATCCACTTTCCTCTTGCCTATGAGCATGCGCACCATCGCCTCGTCGCCGCTCTCTGCCGCCAGATGGAGCACCGTCCTCCCAGCTTTTCCCTCTCCCACATTGGGGTCCGCCCCGGCTTCCAACAGCATACGCATGATGGTGAGGTTCCTTGATTTGGCGGCGATGTGAAGGCAAGTGTCCCCCTCGTAGTTCCGAACCCCGGAGCACTGAGGCAGTCTCTGGAACGGGATCTTGTAACGGTTCTGCCGGGTCTCCTCGTAATGTACCGGAACCAGGAAGTGTCGCACGACCTGTTCGTACCCGTGTGCACATGCGCAGTGTAGCGGGGTGTTGCCCCTGTGGTCCTGCATGAGCACATTCGCCCCGGCACAGATGAGACGACGGACAATGTCTTCCTGGCCTGTGGAGGCGGCGAGGTGGAGCGGCGTCTGCCAGGTGGTGTTGGGAATGTTGAGCCAGTCGTAGTCTGGCGCCATGTTGATGAGGGTCAAGGACTCCTCTGTTCTGTGGTTGATGATGCACACGTTGAGGAGACTATCGCCGTTATCGTCTGTGGCCACAAAGTCTTTGATCTGCTCCGGAGTCACGTGCTCGGGCGTTAAGGCGTCCCCGCCCTCCACCTCCATAAACGACCGTTTACAAGAATCGTCCAACGTCACGAAATCGTCGACGGAGTTGGAGATGAACTGGCCCAACTCCTCGCTGTTGTTGCTGACAAAACTCATGTACACGCCGGAGTCTTTGTCCTTGGCCGGCGTCGGACTCTCTCCGTCTATGTTCATGGCGGACAGCGCTTTGTTCAGGTCTATGGAGCCCAGGTTGTGTTTCTCCTGGTCTTCGTCGATGTCTTCCAGCGCCCCTAGCGGGCAGGCGCGCGCCATATCTGAGCGGTGGAGATCTATGGAGTCTATCCCCGAGTCGATCTGCTCGTCCCCTCCATCTGTGGATATGTCTGAGTCTGAGCGGAAGACAGTTGGGGAGAGTTTGGATTCTTCCATCGTTTTGAACTTGTCGCTGTCGTGCATGCTTGGGTCTTGGTCTGTCAGAGACACAGGAGAGAGAGAAAAATGATATACGTGAGTTTATGTACAAACCAATGGCATAAAGGTTTTCTCATATTATGTATGGCAACTTGTTAAAATGAATGAACAAATAAATAAATTTAAAACTTAAACACATAAATGTACCAGCATAAATAAATAAATAAATAAATAAATAACAGAAAAACATAAATGTGCCAGCATAAATTAATTAATTAATAAACAAATAAATAAATA